TTGAGCTCGACTTCGCACTTCGGACCGATGGAGTGGATCCGGTCCGACGATGAGGATCAAGGGGAGGATCAAAAGGACCTGGAGGAGGTGCTGCTCTGGCCTTGGCTTCTGGCCGGACTTCATCTCCAGCTTCTTGTTCAGTTTCATCAGTTTGTTCATTGGGATCGTCTGGAGGTAGGGCATGTTCGTCCGACTCTTCCAAACTACTCGAATCTTCCTTTTTCTTTTCTTCTTCGACTGCGGACTTCGGTTGCTTCTTCGACAGCTGACGCTCCTGTGAGATGAGCGTTTCCAGGCGATGCAGACTTGTCTTGAACCGGGATGTGAAGGAAGTGGCTCCCTCATGTCCTTTCCGCTTCAACCCAAAAAGGAACTCATCTATGGCCTCGTGGAGCTCGGTCTCGGGCAAATAACGGTAATGCTGATCAAGCGTCCGAACAATTTGCAGCCAGCCTTGTTCACATCGAAGGTCAGCAATTGGAATGTTTTCGGTCGCTTTCCAAGCTTCGCCAGACAATCTTCCGAGGACTCGAGGACCGGCCAGGTGTTGTTGCTTGTCCTCAAGGGATGCAACACCAAGGATCAGCTTGCGTCTGAACTCACGATATCCGCTTGGCTTCCCATCGAAGTAGAGGTCTTTGAGAGTGTCTTTGTAGTCCATGGCTCAAACTGCCAACAACAAACAACAATGTTCCACAACCAACAATCAATGTCAATGCTCAACAATCAACGTCAACTCAACTTTGCACCACTGCACAAGCAATGTACCTAGATGGCACGAGCTGCTCTGCGGTTTGCACCGCACCCGGGATCAGGCCGGGACCTCACAAAGCAATCCTGGAGCTTGGCGGCTCCGCTACCATGTAAAATGGTGAGCGGAGGATCAACAGCAACTTGTAAAGGCAACTGTCACAACTCAACCAACGGGGATCAAAGAACTCCGTCACGATCAAAAGCAAGCGGTGCGCTCACTTTTCCATTGCGCAACCGTCGGGGGCTCGGATGAGCCAGACTCAAGGGCCCTTGTGCCAAAATGGTCACATGAGAGGGCCGCCATCTCATATCATGATATGCATGTTCCAATGCATACAAATTCACAATATTATATATATATACCCTCGGAGTCAAAGACTATCACAAGAATGGTCTTTAGGTGACCGGAAAAGGAATACGCTTTACTTCAGGGGGGCGAAATATAGTCTTTGGACTTGTAGGGTATATGTTTTATTTCTATTTATTTTTGCTATACGCAGTCTAGATTAGCTGCTAGATGTTGGATGAGCTGCTTTTCTTGTTCTGATTAGATTGGAGGATGTTAGATGATGAGACCTGTTAGACATATCCAACTATATCCAAATGTCCAACTGCTCGTTTTGGGGGGCCTTTTTCCAGTCTCAATGCGAGTTGACATATGTGGCCTTGTGTCTTGTTCTTTCTTTTTTTTGTGTGTGTGGCACCCCATCAGTAAGGGTGATTCCACTTGTTGTTTCCTGCAGGTGGAAGATCATTTAGGATGGCATCGCGCGGTGTTAAACACCCTCATCCGCCAGAACCGGAGCTTAAAGTCGCCGGTGGCCCCTTGGATGGCAAGCGTCACGCGCGCCGGTGAGGTGGGTGGAGAGCAGCGCCGGGAGCGTCGAGGGTGGTTTTTGGCGTGCAAAATCGGATGAGGTGGGGAAGAGCGAAGGGCTGTTTTAGGTATGAAACTGGGGCTTTGGCGAATGGGCTTGCTGATCCTTAGGCCCTAGCTCCAGGAGAGGGCAAGGAGATTTGGGGGTGAGATTTCATGCATTTGTGTGGGCTGTTTGCAAGGCATTCCACTACTACTTTGGGCGGTTTCTCCGAATTTTTGGGTCATAGTCTATACCCTCTACCTTAGATTCCTTTCAACTGCAATCTTTCTCCCGACCCCCCACAACACCGGGCGCAAAAGCCGGGGGCCAACCACCGATCTTCGCGCAGGTGACCTGCGGGTCGTTTCGTTTTCTGCAGCGACGACTCGCCCGCGTGAGAGGTCCAGATGCTGCCCATGGGTCGCTTCGTGCACGTGCTGGAGCGTCAGGGCCGGCGGGTGAAGATCGACTTCCCAGCGAAGGGGTGGACCTCCATCACGACGCCCAAGGGGGAGCCTATCCTAATGTGGGATGCCCCGGAGGTGGGGGAAGACGCCGTGGGAAGATGCAGTTTTTTCAGTCTTGGTGTTTGAGGGTTAGACGAGACACGGTTTTTGTCGGATGCAGCCAGTGTTGGTTCCAGAGCTGAAAAGTCAAGCAGGTCTGGTACTGTACCTGGTACGGGATTTGCGTCACTTGAGAATGGCTGGGAAGAGCATTTCTGGAATGGCCACTTCATGCGACTTCTGCGCCTTTTCCGGTGTAAGATAAACACAGTTAATGTTCAGACATTTCCACCTTGTTCACCGTCACATCCCTGAGTAGCCTTAGAGATCCTTAGAGTCTATTGCACGAGCATTCTGCTTTACCTCTGGACGTTGACCAACTGTTGGGGGCTTTTGAGGCTTTTGCATCGGAGATTGACTCAGCTCTCCCCGCCTCAAACACTAGCGAGTCCCGCAGGCTGAGCACAAGAGCGTTTGGAGCCTTCCGCGAGACTCGCCGCCAGAGGAGTTTCTTCTATGTTTTCCCTGTGCCCCTTTTTGTAGCCTTCAAGACCATTGAGAGAAGCATCGACCTGCTTTTTTTGACTCAAACATCCACAATCAAAGAATGGTCCCTTGGGACAATTCAAGCCTTGGAGAACCTGCCGGTGTTCGTCTCGATAGAGGAGCGATCGATGTGGAATGTGATGTTTTGCGATCGCTTTTTTTACGGAACCTAAGGACTTGCTCATTCGTTGGACAGATATGTGTATTTACAGATAGACCTCTAGGTGAACCAAAAAGCGCGTCTTTATTCTCCAAGAACACCAAACTCTACGGACCTGCAGTCACAGAGCGAGCTCGGGGTGCGATCCATCGAGGGTGTCGGAGTTGGCTGCCCCGTCGTCACATCTGAGCGGACGTAATTCACACCACCCCAGCTCCATGTGACTCTACGGAGTCATTTCTTAACATATTTGATCGATTTAACGCGGATGTTTGATTCACTGCTCCTCAGATTCTTGCCGACTGCACCTGCTTGACTGGACCTGCTTGACTGCCCAGGGGAGCAACGCACGGCAGTGTTCGAGTCGAGAGAAATGCTGCGAAAGAATCAAGCAAAAGAGAAGCAAGCGCAGCACGACAAGTTGCTGAAGAAGGGCATGTCACTTGGATCCAGCCATTTCCTTTTGCTATTAGGTTGGAGGCCATCGCTGTTAGGTTGGAGGCCATCGCTAGTAAATTGGAGGCCATTGGTTGGAGGCCATTCCTGTTAGGTTGGAGGCCATCGCTAGTCAATTGGAGGCCATCGCTATTAGGTTGGATGCCATCGCTTTTAGGTTGGAGGCCATTCCTATTAGGTTGGAGGCCATTGATATTAGGTTCCTATAGGTCTTCTCCTTCCTGGCACAAAGAGAAAGACAGACGAATGGATCTTCCCCGATCTTTCGTCCCAGGTTGCAAAAGGGCAAGACATAGAATCACGGCCACGAGCCTTCTTCGGCCTACAGCCTTCTTCAGTTGTTTGATGGATTGTGTCTTATGACTTGCTTCGGCTTCTTTTTGGTTTAACACCGGCTTCTTCTTGGACTGACTGTCAGGCTGTCTTTAGTGCGGCGCTATCAGAGCGGTGCACTGCAGAAGGACTTGGAGAGACGCTTCAGCATCGAAAACATCCACGCGATGGAGGGGGAGCTGGAGTCGGGCATCGAAAAGGTTGGCAATGCCACCCAACAAGTCCTCAAGGCGGGGTGCTTCTCGACTTCCAGGCAAGTGCCCTCTCTTGGGAGAGATGTTTTGCTTGATATTCAAGGCGGAGGGTCCTGCTTTTCAACACTTGGGGGAGCCTCTTGTGCGGGGATCCCGAAGTGTTCAACGCCCAACCGGGTGTCCTGTCTGCCCTCTCCCCCCTCCCTGATGAAGCCACCGAAAAAAGAGGTGCTCTCCCGCAACGACACCGACATCAAGGGCTTTGAGGACGCGCTGAACGACACGGGGCTCCTCAACCTGACCACGCAGAAAAGGCCCAAAGCGGCGAACGCCTGAGCAAGCCACCATCAGTCGGAGCCTGGCGGCCACGACTGAAGCCCCGCGAAGCCCCAGAAGATCCGAACAGTGCGGTTCAAACTAAGCTTCAAAGGTTTGGTGAATGCACTTTCTGTGACTCAAAGGCCTTTTGGCTGTTTGTTTTTTCACGATCTGTGAGGGTTTTGTCGCGGATGAAACACCAGGTTCAGACAGCTTGGGTAACAGGAACCGACCCCGCTGCCTGGCCAGAGTAGATTGAACACCGAGATGAAACTCTGAGCATCACCTCCAGTCGTCTCACAAAGAATGGGTGCTGTTGGACGCAAAGACCCGTGCTGGGTGCGGAGGCGGTTTTTCCTGGTTTGTGACCGTCGTTCTGGGACCCCGGTTTTCAACCCTAAAGGATGACCTGGGGATAGGAGCAGATGAGCAGAGAAAGACGACAAGAAGCAACCATGAGGGCTTCCTGTCACCCATGAGCACTATAATCACTTAATTTGAAACATGACTTCCTCCCAAATCGTCTTGAATTGTCGAGCAACGACACCACTCTGAAAAACAACTGATTGAAAAAACTTGGCCCCGAAGCTGGGCTTTGAAGTAAATCCTTCATTGTTTCAATTTCATCACACTGTGCAGGGTTTGAAGATCCATATCGAAAGAACCATTTCGGTATCCATTTCGGCCAACACCAAAGGATCATATGGAGTTGGGGGCGATTTCCAAAAACACACACTTATATAGATCCATGCTCGCAAGGGCTATATCAGTTTGGAACATCCCAAAAGCTAGTTATATGAGTTGGGGGCGATTTCCAAAAATAACACACACACACACACGACCGGTCAGCAGTGTTCACCCTGGTGTTCACCAGGTGCCGGTGATCTTTGCCCTGAGCCGCAACAGGCACAGTCCACGGGGCGTACTTCGTGGGCAGAGGGGGCTTTTTGTTTGCGGGCGTGGGAGGAGAGTTTCCACGAAGGGAAGAGTTCTGGGAGCATCCAGAATGGCGGGTGATAGATGGCACATCATGCCTTGGCCGCCTGAGGTCGTGAGCCTGAGGCCTTTCGGACCTCCTTTTTTGGGGAGGTAAGTTCCAAAGTTGTACAACAAAGCACGGTTCGGAAGGGCATGGCATGGGGCCGTTTTCACCGGAATCGCCGCTTGTCGCGTTGGTCTTCTGATCTTTTGACCGATCATCCCTTCCTTCTCGAGGATTGGTAAGGCCATGGGCAAGAACATCCGCTTGAGCATCGTGGCGCTCCACAGTGTGGATGGGGTGCACCAACAGTTCAAGGAGCTGCTGAAGCTGGCGGATGAGTCGGGGACCCCACAATTTCATGTGGATAGGCGGAGGTTCTTTCCGGAGCGATCGTGTTTTCCGGAGCCATCGTGGGAGGAACGTTCCTTTTTTTCTGGTTCCTTTTTCGGACCTTTGTTGGGTACTGGATGGTACTGGTAGGTGTTATGCGTCTCGGCCCTCAAAGTCTCGTTGGGGCTGAGCTTTGGCTTTGGCTTGGTGGCAGGTTCCTACCGCTTACGGTTTGCGAAAGATTCAGCATGCCCTCACAAGCATGGATGTTGCAGCATGGATGTTGACCAAGCCCAGAACATTGGATGCAGTGCAAGACCAAAATCCCAATCAGGAAGAACGTCAAGAAGACCGCTTGCACCACCCCCATCTCCACAACTTGTTTTGGACCACAGCCAGCCAGCTCACGGCCGAGGCTGCGTCGCCGCTGGGCCGGGTCACCCAGGGTCTGAGCAGTCCGAGCAGTTGCAAGATGTGAGTTTGGGAGAGGCTCAGATTTGCCTTACTTATTCTCAGTTATTTTCGTTGTTGGCACATGCCGACCTTCTATGCAAAATTGGGTTCGAAGGTGATGAGATGATATGCGATCCCCGGCAGTTGGCCATTGGCTCCCAGTCTGCTTGGGAATAAATGCACAGAGTGCTTGGAGTGACCCATTAGATCGTCCGGATGCACGTGAACAGTGTGTCAACTGTTGCGTCAACAGTGTTGAAACCGGAGAAACAGGCGAAGCATAGATCTCTCGTAAAAGGCAACAGAAGATGTTATTGGTCAACCCCCCCCAGCAATCAACTTCAATGGATTCAATACTAGTCAATCATCATCAGTCTTCGAGTAAAGGTTGCTGGTTCACCCTTAAGAGCTGACTGAACACGAAAAAAAACGCGTATATGATGGTGAATGAACATCCCTGATCATTTCTTGTCCATTTTCACTCATACAACGCATGAGAGGGTTCGACGTATGATGTCCGAAAACGCCAGGTCCTTCGGCAGATGTCGCACGCCACCAGTGAGTATGCTGGAATGCTCAGCATCGATCTGGGATGGACGGTGGAACGCAGGGCCTGCGTTGCCATCTATGGGTTTATTCACTGGACTAGCCTAACTTACTAAATGAATGAATGATAAATCCTCTAACTTCCGGTGTATCATCATGTTTAGAATTACATTGCTTTGAGTGATCCCCACCATGGCATTATACTGTGCTGATAACCGACGGCAATATGCCATCTTGCATATATATATATATATACTGGATTATACTGGCATATACTATGGCATTCCGTCTAGCAAATATTCTGGCATTCGATCTGGTATAAGTATATTCAGGCATTCTATATTGGTATATGTTGTGGCATTCTACCTGGCACATTTTCTGGCGCTCTAACTGTCAAAATTACGCAGCTGAGCTCCGGTGGTGCCCACTGCTATTGAACCTGTTCCGTTTTTTTAGGTACAGATTCCAGCTTGACACATGGAATATCTTTTTGGGGTTAACCATGCAAATGTCGAAAGCTAGGGTAGGGGAATGGCTGAGTAAAAGGCGTTGCTTCTGTTTTGCTTATTGTGGCAATGTGGGGTGCTTTAGCCTAAAAGCCAGGGACGTAAAAACCCGTACATGGATGAAAGCCACCGCTCAAGCTTTCCAAGGAGGTAAGCATTCCCTCCAGGACATGAATTTTGGGTAAAACGTCAAGAGTTAGCTTTTAGCAGCGTGGCCAAGAATTGCTGTCCAAATAGGGTGCCAGGTAAGTCACTTCCATGGAAACAGAAGTGGAACTTTATTAGACCCTTTTTTGTACTCGTATATTCAAGAACTAACATTATATCAGGTGGAATTTCATATTGACATATCCATCGTTTATAAGTGTGAACACATATATAATTGTTATTATGTATACACATACACATAAATGATGACAGTTTTTCATGTTTCTTTTGCCACATATGACTTGTTTTCATCATATTATTAAAGTGTTTTGTGGATGACTCATTTACTTATTGGAATTCCTTGTACGAGTTCTTATTTACATATATCCAGTGTTTGATTGGAATGCCGTGCAAATCGCGGTGCACCCGCGCTCCACCAAGGCCGAGCAGGCCCTGAAGAGGGCTGAAGAGTAGCTTGGCTTTCTGAAGACCGATGGACATAGCATAGCAGGTTTGTCAAGTCTCAAACTCCCAAGATGTTGAAGGCTTTCATTTGGCATTTGGTCGAAATTGATTGACGAGGCAAACCATGAAACATTATGATTTGGCACAGGGGGGCCCGTAGTCTTGCTTTGTGAAGGAGTGATCATGTTCCAAGAGTCTCCCACCATCGAAGACAGGAGCATTCTTGGGCAGGGGACATTGGGGATCCCTGCGTGGGTTTTGCGACGTATTGCGCCCTCCAACTTGAACGAAGATGGAAGTTGATGGCGCACATACTCTAGGGCCTAGGGCTTAGGAAGACTATACTTTCGTTGACACGAGACAGGGTATTAATCCGTGTGTCGTCCCACCAGCCGCCATGATTGCGTGGTCACATCCACGGCAGTTTTCTGGTCCTTTCCCTGTACCCTTCATCCGGTCCATCTAACAAACAAACAACAATTCAAAGAGGTCACACTGTGACTCTCTGACAAAAGAAGACCCTTCTTCTTCCGTTACTCTCCTCGGCGATGTCACGGCAGTGTGTGAGACAAGCGCCCTGTGTCTCGCTGTGTGCGCCTCAATCCGTTGGGACCAACGCAGCGCCTCAAGGAAGGCCTTGCGCGATGCTGAACGTCGAGCTGAGAAGGAGCGGAGGGCCATGGGTTTTGCTATGGACATTTGGAAATGGTTTAAGTCGGAGAGAGGTCTGAAAAGCCTATATAGGAGTCCAAGGAGTCCAAGGAGTTCAAGATCATTGGAAAAAAACCAGGTTTTGATTTACTTACTTACTTACTTACTTATTTGCACTGCAAATCAATAGAGCATAACCTTTTGAAACAGTCTCGGCCTCGGGGTCCAAGTGATGCTTCAGGAACTCGTTCAAAAGCCTGGACGAAATCCATTGGCAGACTCAGCTGTTGAAACCCCAAGTCGAAGAGCCCAATTCCACCTGGTCCTCCCCACAAGGCCCGGACCCACCTGGACATCCAGTTCAGTCGGAACCCCTGCGGTTTCCACGCACATGTGGCCCCAAGGAGCGGCTCGAGGTGGCGAAGGCGGCCGAGGAGCTGCAACGCGCCGAAGAGCGGAAGAAGCTGAAGGCCGAGAAGGCGGAGATGAAGGCGGGACACGACCTTCTCAATATTGCAGGCCTCCAACGTGATCTCCCAACGTAGTGATGAGGTGACCAACCTTGGTTCTGCAGGCCATTCGTGGATTGGGATCTGAGAACCCAAAGACGATGTCTTCAGAACCGAAGATTCGACTGGTGCTTTTTGGGATCTTACATGATGCACTCAACAGATTTGGATGCTCAACAGATTCATGGTCGATGCTGATGCTCCTTTTCTTTTCCCGAGATCGCGGGTCGAGCAGGATCTGAAGATGTTCGGGAGGCGCGTGGTTTTCCGTGCGCCAGGCGCGGAAAGTGGCCCTGCAACAGGAGGAAGCTGAGCTGGGAGCCCCGTCCGTAACAACGGGGTCCACGGCTCTGGAAGGGGGAGCGAAATGTCGACTCCCTGAACTTTTGCGATGCTGGATTGCTGGATCATACTTGGACCTTCTTTCGGGGTGTCCAGACAGGGAGGTCCTGGATGGTGGGCTGGGGCGAACCCAGCCAGGTGACCTTGACATGAAGGTGCTGGTAGGATCCTGCCAGAATGCGGGGATATGCGGATGGGACACACACAACACATGGCACCGACTCTGGTTTGCCGCTCGGACTCTTCGCCAGGCGACGGCGTGAGGAACGGGAGGCTCAAGCCAAAGAGCGTGAGGCCGGGGATGGAGAGAATGGACACTCCCTGCAACTTGCATGGAAGTCCAATGTCTGCCCCCCCTTGGAAGACCAACTCAGTAGTTTCTTCCATGTCGAGTGGGAGGTGGTCGAGTCACTTCTTCAGTTCCGGGGCTCTTGGAATCCAAACAGGAGGCTTCAAAACACATTTCAGGTGCATCCAAGTTAGGCAGATCTTGGGAACCACCCATTGGGTCTCATAGAAGTGGAAAGAGATTGCCATGGTTTTCGTGAAGTAAGGCGTAAGGGAAGTTCCATGAAGTTGCCATGAGCCCTAAGAGTTGTCTTATTCCTTTTCTTTTTGGTCTTTGACTCGTTGACTCGTTGGAGAGTAGTGAATGCAAGTATCTTCAAGCCGGCTGCTCACGTGACATCATCCAAATGCCTGCAGTTCTGCTTCGCCCGGAACCAACGTCACTTCATCGACTCGGACAACTCGATTTAGGTTTGGAGTTTTGCAGTGACCTATTACTGGCCTAAGTAAACCAGGGGATCAAAGGATCACTTAGAAGAACCAGGAACTTGGTCTCCCAAGAAGAGAGCAATAAGGTGTTTAGACGATTTAGAAGGGAACAGCTGAGCACTACCTCACTGTTTCGAAGATGAAAGCTTTACCCCCGCAGCCGCCGCTTCGGCTTCGTCGCACGACGGAGCCACGGAGCAGTGGCCTCGGGTCCGAATGCGGTTGGGCGGTCGTGTCATGCGTCGAACCTGTACCAAGCTAGGCATCCCAAAGGCGCACCACGTCAAAGAACCAAGGCGCACCACGGTGTGTTCCCCGGAGGAGCAGCCGCTTCTGACCATCGCACGGTCTGGCTCAGGTGGAAAAGGCTCGAGAGGATCAAGAGATTGAGGCTCAGCGCGTGAAAGAACGCCTGGCCGAACAGGACCGGGGAGTCCGGCGGTCCTCCGTCTCCCGGTCGGTCGTTCGGGTCGACCGGACCGGTTCGTGCCACGCGGAAGGGTCCCGGGTCACGGTCGTTGGTGCTCGCCAGATGCAGTCAGACTCAGAGATCTGAGCATCAAAAGACCAGCAAGGTACCAGCAAGGTTGAGTCGTTGGTCTTGATTTCTGTCCCTTCTTGGCAGACCATGGGAAGGGTCGTTTCTGACCCACAACATCGAAGTACGGAGTGGCCCTTCTTGCCTTCGGAAGCTTATCGTCCAGTCCTCTGGGGCCTTGGAGGCCTAAGGGGGCCAGGCTCAGCTCCAAGACTTGAAGTTGGCTCGATCCTTCTGTTTCCTGGCCTGATCCCGATAGGCTTTATAATTTGAGGTTGGCGTTTTTTGTATGTTTTTGTGGTAGTTCACAGCCTAAGCATTACTGTATAGAATTCTTGGACCCGGCCTCTTCGCAGGGGTCGGACCAGACCCCTTGATAGGGGTGCGTTTTCCGAAACACACCGTGTCCACTTTGCATAGGGGCTCAGGCTTCTTCGTTGACAGCTGCATTTTGTGACTCTGACCTCCCACCTTGCCTTCCCGACGAAGCCCCCGGCTTGAATGCAAACGATGGACTCTTCAGGAGAGGCTCCGGAAGGAGGAGGAAGCTGCAGCAGTTCCCAGAAATGGATGGGAGGGGGGTTGTTCTGCACAGATGGCACACTCCGAAAGCCATACACCCTGGTAGACTAACATGGACCCTGAGAACCATTGGTTGGTAGAGGAAAACCATCTTTGAGGGGGTCATTGTTGGGGTCCATGTTCGTTTTCGGGAGTGTAGCAAGATCATAGCGCACCAGATCATGGCCACCAACAGGGACCATATTCCGATGTTCCCCAAGAGGCCAAACAGGGGGGCTTCGTTTTGTCTCCGATGTACCCTACGCAGCTCAGATATTGGGTACTATAGTACAGATTCTGATCGATATGACGGTATGATTCTTTTACTCCACTGGATGAAAAACCAACATCTCTGAACACCGGGAATTTCAGGTGAGCGAGGAAAAAAAGGCAGAGAGAGGTTTTGGGCCTCCAATAACCTCGAAACCTGAACATCGGAGAAAATATGTGTGTTTCCTTTTGAAGGGGGTTCTTTTGCTTCCTTTGAAACGCCACACTTTTTTGGAGCGAAACTCCAACGGAGGCCAAGGAGGCTGAGCGGCGGCGCCGGGCAGAGCTCCGACGGGCCGAGGAGGCTCTAGGGTGGCAGGGCTGAAGGCCTGAAGAGGAGGAGCAAGGACGCCACTAGGGTCACTAGGGGCTCCTGGCAACTAGGAGCAAGAAGCTACTTGGAGCAAAGGGCATCGCTACGAACGGAGCAAGATACGGATGGGTAGGGTTTACTTGGTTTACTTGGTGGACTGGTGGATGAATTCCAACCATCCCCTTTGTTTGGGCCTGAAGAGGTTTGACATGGTAGAATCAATCCATGTCGGGGGGGGGGTTGATGAAACAAGGTAACAAGCCTCTCCATGACAAATGGTATTGGTGGGATTTCTGAGGCAGTTTCTGGGGTGATTGATCAAACTGAGTTTTCGACATGACCAATCTTCTTGGACAAACTTCTGGCAGATCGCCCGACAGATCTGCTGATGGCTGTTGATAGGATGTTCTGATCACACAGGAAAATGACCAAACTTTCACTCAACGATCCAACTGGAAAGCTCCGCACACTCTGCACGCCGTGTCTCCGTGTCGGACCGCGCAGAGGGTTCGCGACCGATAGGAACGGCAGAAGCGGATGGCGGAAGCCGCAGCCAAGGTGCCAGGGAGAGATTGGCTTGGTACTTCAGAATGGGAGACCCCCCAAGCCAACGACGTTTTGTTGGATGACGCGTCCGCGGCATCTGACCGCCCCTCGGTTTGCCCCGTGGTTCACGGGGCAAACCACTGGTTGTGGGAGGCTGATCAGAGGGTTTTCTGATGGCTCTACCAAGGCCGGGCTTCATACCCTAGTAGCGATGGCCTCCACCCTAGTAGCGATGGGCTCCAACCCAGGAATGGCCTCCACTCCACCCTAGTTTTCTTAGTTTTCTTTTGACAGCCCCACAAAGGCCGGGCTTCACTGAAAGGTGTCGTCTACGGAATGGATTCCCAAGGTCTCTCTCGAAGACGACCGAGGATGGTCAGCCTACCTCACCAAAATTTGACCTCCACAAAAAAATTGTCAGGATTTCCATGCTTTTTAAATTCAGATTTTTTTGTGTTTGGATTCACTTGCAATCTAAGGGTCTTTTTGGAGATCGCATCCGATTTCGTTCGAATCAAGAATGGTGTTTCAGTTGTCTTGAAACACTCAAACACCTCAAAACTGCCAGAACCTTAGGGAACCACCATTTTTCACACTCTGGAAACACACAAATTGACCTGTACCACTCAAATCGCAACAAAATCACCTGAATTCGGAAACCTCTCAACTTCAGGTTCCTCTGAACCGGCACCTTCGTCCCAGCACCAAACCGTTCCTCACCGCCAGGTTGCCTCGACGGGGCCGGTGAAGGTGCCGTTCAGCGGACGGTCGGGGGTGGTCGAGCCGATTTCAGCATAATTCGTATGTTGGTTATATATAGTTTATAGATGTTTATAAGTTTATTAGATGTTTACAGTCTGTTTTGAATAGCTTGTTCCGTCTGGTTCCTGGTCTTCGGCCCCGATTCGAGCACGTTTGGGCGATCGTTTGGGCCCAACTCTCAATGGACGTTGTTCCAGCCTTTTCGAGTCCCCCCCCCCAAAAAGTACACGAAAGTCCCGTACCGTGGCAGTTGGATGTGGCTCCGTTGCTTCCTTCGTTGCTTCGTTGCTTCCGCACCGGTCCTCGTCCGCCTCCTGACGACCGGCTCCGCCTCCGGTCGTCCCCAGGCGGACGAGTCGGACGCCGAGTCTTCGGGCTCGGACCTTCCGCTGGGCTTCAACAGTCCGCCGGCCGAGCGGCAGGGCGGGTTCGGGCTGGGCGGACGGGGCACCTTTTTGGAGGTGCCGGTGGGGCTGGGGGGGGGGGGGGGGTCGGGGGTCTTTTTTTTCTTTTTGCTGGGGGGAGCCGGGGAGACACAGGATGGCACATGCTGGCAGGCTCTTGAAGTGAATCCAGGTTGATGTCAAGCTGAGGTTTGGGAATCCACTTTGTGGCAGAGTTGTGCCATGTGTCACAGGTCTGTACCCGTCCTTTCTTTACTGCTCAATTGTATTCAAATGTGATTTTTTGGTTGTCCTCTGTCCACTCATCAATGGTGCCACTAGGTGCCAATTGTTCCAGCATTTTGCACTTCATGGTCCTGAATTGCCAGAGTGACCAGAAGATGCTTCTCTAGCCTTGCTTATGGCAAACAGATGCATCTCCAGTCTCCTGCCTGCACTGCCTGCTGCCAAGGCAACCTCTTCTGAGATGGTGCCCGATTCTCCTAGCGCTGGCGCTCAGCCTGGCGCGGCTGAAGGCCCCGCCGGACGTTCGGTGTCCGAACCTGGTCCAGGTCAGAACCCGCGGCCTCACCCCATCACGTCTGCTGCGAGGAGGTTGAAAAGATGTGGCGTTTTAGTCCAGCTTGCTTGTAGCTTGTTGCTGGTCAGTCTTGCACATGGCCATGTATATGGCCATCTGCCGTGAAAGCTATATAGAGGTTGAAGGTGAAGGGCACATAGTGCACGTGACAGTATGAAAGCTCAAGCATGCTTCTTCACGGGTTTAGACTTCCAACCTGGTTGGATTGCTTCGAAAGGGATTCCTTTACGGGCACCATGAAGGATTGCCTCATACCATTCATGACGCCGTGTTGGGGGCAGCGAGCCAAGTGAGCAACCGCTTCATGCTGTCATGGCTCCAGCGTGGGCCCTCCGGTGTCGACCGCTCGGACCGCGCCCGCCGGACGTCCGGCCTCGAGGTCGGCGGAGGGCTGGGCGGGACATGGTCGTTGGAAGCCTTGGGAACGAAGAGATGGTGTTTTTGAGTCCCACCATGTCAGACATGTTCTCGGTTTCAAGCGCAGAGATTTTCTTTGACGTTCTTTGACCTGTTTCGTGCGTGGGACTGGTTTGAGACCCGGTACTGCTGGGAGGGGGCGCAGAGATACTCAATGCAGGTCTTCGATGCTTTTGCATTTTTTGATGTTTTCTGTCCTCCACCACCTCAATTCAGGTTTCGGTCTCTACTGAGTAAAAGAGTGCAGTCAGCCAGTCGTATTTTGAACTGTCATCACCTGCACAACCAGGACAACTGCAACTGCTGGACCCTCAATACCCAGTTATATTGAATACAATCGGGATCTGAAATGATTTGAAGCCTGTCAAGAAAACACCACCCATGCACTGGCCTGGATGGTCTGGGCCTCCACCAGTGCCTCTCCATGGTGCTCACCTGCGCCCACTGCGCTCACCGCACTCCGCGCCGCGCCCACCGCCCTCGCGCCGCCACGGGCCGGGATGCGCGCGCAGCGTGGCCCTGGTGCTGTGGGCTCTGCCGCGCGTTCGCCGCGCGGTGGGACGCCGGGATGGGAAGGAGCTCATGCGTTGGCCACGCGGCGGCAGTTTGGGAGGTCGAGGGCTTCTGGAGATGTTCGGGAGGATCTGGTCGGATCTGATTCGGTCACTGGTGACTTGTGCTGGGGTGCACACTAATTAAGCCTCAGTTTCTTGGGGTTAAAATTCTTGTAGGAGCTGTTAATTGTGGTGAGCCCTTCACTCTTTGTGCCTTATGGCCAGATCGTGCAAGTCTTGATGCGGGGGGTGCTAAAAAAAAGCGGCTCAATGTGGGCACATACATTCCACCCCACTGCATTTTGGCCCAACCTCACGCTTCTAGTAACAAGTGCCTTACTAGTAGTAACAAGAAGCTAGTAG